ATCGATCCCATCGTCCGTAGGAGTGGTCTGTAGGTTAAGCACTATCGATCATCTAATTAGTTTTTTTAGGTAAATCTTTTAATTAGCTACTGCTATCTCTGTACCAAAATATAAGAGGCTTTTATAGGCTAAACTAGCCTACAAAAGCGTCTTATATGATACGAACGGAGTAGTTGGCTTCACCTTCTCAACGCTAGAGTGATCAGTAGGGTTTGCAGTTATCAACTGGACTATTCATACTGAACTTCTTTAATGACTAATGTACTTGTTGCCTATTCATTATAGGAGTTTACGGACTTTTACGGACGGTCAGATACATAGCACATAGCACATGGTTGCACGTGTGGCATTATAAATTAAAGTGACACCAACTAGTTCGCTCGGCGATGCAGGAGGAAGAGCACACATACTTGAGCTGAAGAAGGCAGTGTGTTGCGTAAGCCTCATCATTGTGTCCAATATCAAAATTCACATGCATAGCAGTGTGTCATAGGATCGGGAGGCAACAGGGATTCGGAAGCATGAACAACAAAAAATGCAAGCACTATAGATCGGAACTGCTGTTCAACAGCAGACAGAACACCTCCATCTAGAGGATAGTGGATGACGGACACCGACGGCAGGGAGTCGAGGCGCCATCTTCATGGAATAGCTAGATAAAGATCTTCATGGAGTAGCTACATAAAAATCTGAAGTTTTTTGTCACATTGAAGTTCTAAAGTATGTTTATCTTCAAAATTTTAACTCCGTATGTTAATTCGTTTGAGAGAAACAAAACAGAATTTTTTTTCATGTAGTAAGTTAGTTGGAGAGCACAAATATCAAAAACAATGTTGGAGCGGGGGGGAGGGGGATAAGAGGTTACATGTATCTCGACCTACACAGGAACTTTGTACAACCCGGAGCCCCTACTTATACTTACAAACTCGATAATGAGGAATGTCATCACTCCTCACCATCTAGAACCGGGATCACCGCTGATCCGCCCGCATGATGTACCAGGAGAATACACCTGATGCAGTAAACCCAAAGTGTACACCGCATGCCCACGCTTCAGAAGCCGCCACCACCATCTAACTGCTGACTCATATCCAAGAAAGAGATCTGCCTCATCCTTGTCAGGTCGACCAGCCATCGAAGCGGCCACGGCGCCAAACAGCAGCACCGCCCCGCGCTCGTCCATCCAGACGCATTCGTCGTCGAGATCCAACAGCATCATGCGGCCAATACTCATTGTCTTCACGCGGTAGAAGACACGCCTTCACCTGCCAACCTCCGCACCATCGCCATCGCCCGAGCCCTTGCCACCCGGAGCCCACTGCCCACAACAATCCTCCCCTAAACACACAAGCCTCCCAAGACGGCGCCTCCAAGAAGGATACGTGGTGCTGCCGCCGCCCAATCAAGCGGATTTTGGACTTTCGTCCGTGAAGGGGGACGGGGGTGGATAGGATGGACCTCGGCTTCGCCTCCAAGGAGAATAACGACGACAAAAGATGTCGCCGCTGCCGGGCCGAAACAGCCGGCCAAAGTTTCCTAAGATCCCAATCCTACATCACCATCCTCCATTTGCTCCGGATCCTGCAATCGAGCCATCAACCTGAGCCTGTAGGGAAGAGAGTGCCATGGGGCTCAACCCTCCAGATCTGATGATGAGGAATGTGGCGCTGCTCCATGGTTGCCACCCGGTGGCACCTCATCATCCGCATGGTTGAAGGCGCTGGCAAAGCCATTTGCCACAGAGACTAACTAGTTGGGTGAACCACGTTTTGTGTGGCTAGATTCACTAAATATTACTTATATTTGATATATATTTTGTCTTCTTGTTATTTTTTCATGGTCGACTGCTATTCCATTTAAATAGTTTCTACATGATTATTGACATATCATTCAAAACATAGTTAGTTAGCTAGCTGGTTTCACAAACTATTATCAATTTTCACGAGCGTGAATGAAGCAAGCCTGTCAACGCTAGAGGGATCGATGGTACTCTCACCGTAGTATAATATATACCTAAGTTCGCTAATGATTGATGTACATGCTGCTTTTTTCCCGAGATTGCAGGGAAGGTGACATACATGTATAGCACATGCATACACACACGACATTATAAAAGTGGCATGAACTAGTTAGCATGGCTCTGTAGGAGAGAGAACACATACTCTAGTTGATTGAAGAATTCAGTATGTTGAATATATCTGACTTGTACAATATCCACTTAGCGGTGTGTCGCCGGATTGGATTGGGAGGAAACAGAGACTCGTAAACACGAGGAACAGAAAAGTCCGACACTGCAGACCAGACCAGACCAGATCGTGCGAAAACTCACCTGGCATTGCTTTCTACACAATTATTTGTCCATGGTAAATCAATAA